ATCCCATTGTGTAGCTTTGTGCTTAATTAAAAACAAACAAACACCCACCATAAGGAGATTGGACATTAGATACATTGAAAAATAACATTTTAGTAAATAATTTACTAGTATTTAGAAAAAATATGGAAATTCTTACAAACAAATAAATAATACGCAGCTTATGTTACTCAGTGAAAACGAATAAATAAAACTTACATCAAAATATTCTTTCACCGGTTCAGTTGCAAGGACTGCTTGAGCTTGTGGTACATCTCGACAGTAATTAACATGTTTGTCAAAGTCTCGCTCCTGGAACACAGAAATTTAGACTTGGTCATGATTGTATTTCTCGTAAGTTCGATTAAAGTCTTAAGATTTTAATTTTAGAGTACCTTAAGAATTCGTACTATCGCACGAATATACGTTCGTTATATTTATATCTAACATTTATTTTATTTTAGTTAAAACTGAACTAATATTATTTTGAGATTCTAAAAACGTTTTTAACAACACAGAAAAAAAAACAATTTTTTTATATAAATAATAAGGATTTAGGCCTATAAAACGCTGTAGTTACTTGTACATTCTTCTGCTACAGATTGATTTAACGTTAGGCCTTGGCCTAGAATTTAAAACATGAAATGAGTGATAAAAACAAATGCAGTTATCGCCACAGTGACACCCTACTGACTTGCAAGAAAAAGACTCACTCTTCCCTAAGCCTTTAATGTAATTGTTTTTACAGGTGCAAAAATCCAGGATCTCTGTGTTCTAAACTTGAAATGCCCTTGACGAAATCGATAGGCCTGTAATCAGCCATTATTTCAACTTATCGTACAAATTCAGAAGACTATTCCAGGAGGGAAGCACCTAACAGGTATTTTACAAATATACGCGTTAGCACTAATTAGATTTAACTTTTGAAACGGCGTATGAATATATACGAAAAAATGGAAAACACCTCTTCATAATCTACCTTTATCTATACACCTATAGATAATATTTAATGTTTGTTTGTAGTTATGGGGGGCGATATTTAATGTTCATAATTTAAGTTACTTGTACTTTTATAAAAACGTGGTTTTTGTATATTCTATAATCTATAATGATAACAACAAAAATAATAATACTCATATTTTGAACAGTTACTACAGCAGTTGTCTAAACAAAGAGGTTTACGAAAATAAACTTTTTCTTATAAATATTTTGTGTTAATCTTAAGGATTAATTTTAACCTCTCAATGAGGGATTAGTAAATATAATCATATTTACAATAACTTACCAGCCGTAAAAACGTTACACCCAACTTTTGAGGTTCATTAGCGTGATATTGAACTCCTTTAATAAGAACACTGAAAGTAAAAGATGAAGAATAGATAAACAGTAAATATCAATAGAACAACTGGGATGTATTTCTTCAAGTGAAAAATAATTTGAAGAATTTAACTGAAACATTTTAACAGATACGTAAAACACACAATCGGTTGCTTACCTTAATCATTTTGAAAAGCAGCTTAAAATATATGTATAAAACAGTTTTCTGTAAGAATACATAAATTAAACACAAGTGCTCAAGCATGTTATGTTAATACTTTTATGGCTTTTAATGACGATTATTCTAATAATTATGTTTTTTATTATTATTTATAAGTGACACATAACTAAAAATTATACATTATTTCACTTTTGTTAGGCCTATAAACCTAATTGTTTTCCCAACGTTAATAAACCTAATTTAAATATTAATATTTCGCATCCAATTTACATTTAAAATAAATACACTCTGCTTAGATTTTTCAGTTTAAACCATTTTACATAGCCAGGGGAAAAGTTATACCCACTTGTTATGGAAATCGCAAATTTCTTTGAAATTCGAAAAAATTATGTCTTTTTGGTCTCGAACTTCTTTAGGTGTTTCTGGACTGTCCATTGCTTTTAAATAGTTGTTAACCACGTACTGCATATCTTTGGAGAAGTCTTCCTCAGTATCAACTAGCTCTTTAACCACGGCCCTGAAATAACGAGAAGGAACACAATTCATCAAAACACACACGAGATATTTACAAGTAGCGATATTTTGAAAAAACAATATTAAAGATTGCAAGAAGGATGAGAATAAACTGTATTGACGAAGTTATGATGAAGATTGTGGAATTATTGGAAATTCCAAACAGATAAAAAAGGCATAGATTTACGTGTGGAGTTTATTAGTTAAACCAAAGTAATGTACGTATCAAAGTCGTGATAGTAGGAAGAAATTAACCATTAACACTTCTGATCTTTTTCGTTTGTTTGTAGTTAAGCACAAAGCTACACAATGGGCTATCTATGCTGTGCCCACCACGGGTATCGAAACCTGTTTTGTTTTTTAGCGTTATAAGCCTTCAGACTTACAGCTGTGCCAATTTTGATCTTATTGTTGTCAAAAATGTTAAATATTATTAATATATCGTTGCTTCATTTGAAATAAGCGTCGAAGGACCGCAAATTCAGTACTCTTATAAACTTGTGAAAATGTTAGTTTTGTTCTTATCAAGCTTATGTATGAGGATTTTCTCTATATTTAACTTACTAATGTTATGTCATAGTGACCACTTAAGTGGAAAACAATCATTTTAATGGATATGTGATTAGATAAAATTAAATAGTTCGAGGCTAACATTACTAAATAAAATAAATGATAAAAAACATGGACTATTTCGGTATTTTGGTTCTGAGGTATACATGAGCGAAACCGTTTTTTTATCTAATTTAATCTCTTAACCAACTTATTTAATATTCACGTAACAGAGATCCATTTTTAGCAGTAACTACGTGCCACGCGAAAAATTTGAATTATAATTATATTTTATTACGAAAAATAAATAAATTCCCCAGACTACAATACGCCCCCTAGCAGTGTTTTACATAAGCTTTCTTAAAAAAGTAAAATATATTGGAATGTTTCTCCATTGTTCTTTAAATAAATAATTTCTTTTAGACATAATTATATGGAAGCAAATACAAAGAAATGATGCGTGATGGCCAAAATACATTGAACAATGGACGTATAATTTTTGTTAATTAAAAATATTTATTGTTTAATTAGTTGATAAGTGTACTCAGCAATTTGAATTTTTAGCCGCAGCATAGCAGCTCATATAATGACTTGGAGTTTGTTTGATTTTCAAGTAAAAACTTTTAACTGATAGCTCCGTCATCTCTTTACCGATTTGAGATCTACTTACAGTTTTCGACTCAGGAGGTCAAACCTTTTCGATTGACATATTTGATCATGCCCAAGGTCTCATAGATTAATTTACTCTAATACTGTCTAAAAGAATTTCAATTTGAGGGTAAGCTGGTAGAGATCCTGATGAGTAATAAAATCGAATCGGGTATACGCGCGCCTCAAACTTGGTATTGCTGGCGCACAAAAATATAGCTAATAAAAAGGAAAAAAATGGTCTCAAAGTTTAATTTACTATAATCCTGCCTAAAAGAATTTCAAGTGCCGCGGCTATTGAGGATTCCCTGTTGTTTCGATACCAAAACTTGGTTATAAAGATAATAGAAACATTCGAAGCAAGATGGATTCAAATAATCATTTCGTCACTAAAAATCTGTCTGTAAGATACGTTTCTCTTTCGTCTCAACTAAATATAAGAAAAACCCTTGTGTTATTTATAATACAACTTTATGTTTAAGGTAAATTTTGGTATAAGACAGTTTAATTCAGAAACTTACGTTCTTTGTTGGAAAAAATATATATACCATCTTTACAAATGATCATAAATCAACATATTTGTAAATTGTATTTTATTTCAAAACAATCATCACTACTAAAATAATTATCACTAGCGAATTGGCATTTTTTTTATATTTAAAGCACTACGCATACCATTGTATTGTTCTTATAACAGAGCACGACTAACTTCAGACAACGGTTAACAATGGCTACAATTTGATAACGTACTTCATGAACAAAGACACTGGACAAGGTTAAAACTTCGGTGGAAATTTTAAGTAGTGTACTGAGTCAGATTTGCTTATTATAACAACGTTAGATTTGTAATTATTGATATTGTAAATCATGTGAGGGCTACTTGGCTCAAACTTATGTTAATATATTTAAAAGCCATACAGGGAATGTAATTTGTAAATTACTTACTACCAGTAACACCGAAGACATGGGTTGAAAACAACTAATCATCAAATTCCCAAGTTATTTACGATAAGTTACTGTTTTCATATAATGATTAATTCTAATGATTGACAAATAAATGGATTAGATCATAAAAACAGGAAATCTTTAGAATTTATAAGGCTAAAATCGTGTTCACAAGTATTCATTAATACAGATATACGGTGTTATTACCTCCTATAATGAATAAAGCGTGTTTTTTGACTTTTTTTTTTTTTTCG